TTGTGAGTCTGCAGGGGACAAGGGTTGGTGTGTGAAGTGCTCACCCATTGCTGGGGGCCCTAAGGGACCGGAAGGGCGGCCCACGCATCCATAGGGGAGGCACCCCCAGCTCCGTGCAGGGGGGGAGGGGCAGGCACAGCTGTCTCAAGGCAGAGCGGGCTGCCTGTGGGTTCCGGGTCCCCATCACCGAGGCGCTCCAACAGGCCCTGGGCAGGGAGGCTGCGGGGGCAGGAGCCTGGGCAGGGACCGAAGTACCCCAGGGTGGTCCGTCCACCCCTGCAGACTTCTGCATCAGAACCCTTGAGTTAGCCTGGCCAGTGTGGCTCAGTGGTTGAGCATCGACCTGTGAACCAGGAGGTCACAGTTCGATTCCCGGTCAGGGCACAGGCCCAGGTTTCGGGCTTGATCCCCAGTGTGGGGCGTGCAGGAGGCAGCCGATCCATGATTCTCACTCATCATTGATGTTTCTCTCTCTCTCTCCCTCTCCCTTCCTCTCTGAAATTAATAAAAATAAATATACATATATATATTTTAAAAAATACACAAAGAGCCAGTGCCCAGCAGAAGGCTGCATCCACTCACAGGAAGGGCTTGGGACCAGTTGCCAGTGCGGGCAGAACAGCAGCAGATCTTGGAAGCCAGGGCACTAAGCCGGGCATCCGACGGGCAGGGGGTCGAGGAAGGCATGGGGTGGAGCGACCTGCCTGGGGCAGCAGCAGTCCTGGGCGCGCCCGGAGGGGCCCGTTGGCTGAGGCCGATTCCCAGGCTTGTTGAAAGGGGCCACGTTGCACGCAAGCAGGTTGTCAGGCAAGCTGCTCCCAGGAGCAGGCCCCAGCCGCCGGAACCCAACCGGGTTGGGAGGTGGGGTGGTCGGCCAGTGTCGAGCTGGAACGAAACAAGAAAGCCTTATTCCTGGGGGCCCAGGGTCCCCGATATAAAGGCTGTCCCTGGCGCGTGAGGATGGCCGCAGCGTGCCCAGGAAGGCTTGCTGGGGGCAGAGGGGATAGCTCGCACCCGCAGACCCATGGCCCCCAAGGACTCCCAAAGGTTCCCTTCTTTTTCAGGCGAAGGCGGGAGAGTGTGACCCACTCCTGCCCACAGCCCCATGTCCTCGCCCACCATCAGTTGGGGTGTGGTGGGGCCTGTGACAGCCTCGCGGGGAGAAAATGAAGTGTCCTTCAATCCTCCTCTATTCCCAGCGCTGGGAAGACCCGCACCCAGTGCGGTTAGTGGAGGAAATGCTCTCCCAAATTCCCGGGAAGAACGGGTACTGGAGGCCAGTGCCCGGCGATGCCCCTTGCAGACTGGGAATCATCCAACGACAATCAGAAAGGGTCACAGGCTCTGGCATCTTCAGACCCCACTGCTCCCTGAATCATCTGGCTCAGTCCCTCCCCCTGCCCGGTGGGCAAAGGGAGGCCGAGAAGGTGAGAGTCTCTAAACCCGAGTCCCTGGGGGCACCCAGCCCACCCTCCCACCTTACAGCCCAGGACAGCCCAGGACCGGGGCCAAACCGGCAAGTAAACGTATTGGCCCCCCGCCGCCAGCAGCCCTCGGCGGACTGCGACCCGGGTCTCCATGTCGGATTCCCCTTCTTCTGTCCGGCCCGCACCCCAGTTCCCGACCTTCTTGCACGATCGAGAAATCCACCCACCGCGGCCCGTCTCCCTCCGTCTCAGGACACGCGGACGGCGTCCCAGGCCGTCCGGCTCCAGCAACAGCCCCTCCGGCCCCGGCTGAACTTTTCCTCGCTTTCGAAACTCGGGATTGATGCCCCCGTTTCACAACCTCAGGATGACAGCTCTGGAGGCCTGCCGTTTGGAGAGGAACATCGGCCGCGCTGAGCGAGGACTCCCTGCGCCCGAGGAAGGCCGCACGGGCTCCGGGCAGGCCGCGGGGTTCCCACCGAGAGTCTGAGATGCACCAGCCCCTCGCAGAGGTGAGGAGGCCGGTTTCTGGAGCCGCCGCCGGATGTCCACCAGCGGATTCCGTCTTCCATCCCGACAGACCTCCTGTGGGCCCCGGGGGCACAGCCCAGCCGCAGACAGTGACTCCTGGGCCAGGAGGAGCAGAGCCCACAGAGGACCGACCGGGGCTGCCCGGGGCCAGAGGGGGACATGGTGGCTGACGGCAAGGTGCTGATGGTTTGAGCCTCTTCAGGAAGGAGCTGGACAGAGTCGGCCAGACAGGAAGCTTGTTCTTTGGGCTTAAGGCAGACCTGGCTTCACTTTGTTGGGCAAAGCCCAGGGTCACCTTGTGGACGAAGCCCGCGGTCCCAGACCCTCCTGAGACCCCCTCCAGCTCATCCCTTCAGTGGCCTTTTAACAATGGGCCCCACAGGCGAGTTGTAATAACGGGGATGATAGAGGCCTCGCCTTTGGGGGCCTGGGCAGCATGATTTTGGGGGAAGCGGGGTGGGCATGCAGCAGAGGCAGCCTCCTCTCCCGCCTGGCAGCCCTGGCATCAGACGCTGGCGGAGCCGCCGTGGGCACGTGGCCTCGTGAGGCGGGTTTCAGGCCGCAGCGGGGCTGCCCCATCGATCCCACCTGAGCTGGAGCCGCGCGCAGCCACTGTCCTATCTTCCAGACGTCCCTTCCCACTTCCCTGGCTCTGCTCTCTCTGCTCTCTCGTTGCTGCTTCTGTGTCTGGTGAACTCCTATTCATCACACAAAGCCCTGCTCAAGTGTCCCCTTCTCTGCCCCCTTTCTGGCCCCAGTGGGGTGACTTGCTGTCCTTCCCAGGACTCCTTCCTCCCTCCGTGACCACCCCGTTCACCAGTGGCTGCCTCGGGAAGCAGAGTAGGCAAAGCCTTCCTCTCCTCAGCCCGTGCGCAACTGGGTCAGGCTTGGAGTGGGCACCACGGGATCCGGGGTCTGAGTCACCAGGAGGGACCGAGTGGAGAGGACGGGTCCGGAGGAAGCAGGAACAGGCACTGAGCCAGCCCGCAGTCGGGTCGGCTCTTCAGCCGGGCTATCTCCTTTAATTCTCAATAAGCTGGGAGAATCGTCCCCATTTTCCAGATGAGGAAACTGAGGCTCAGAGGCTCCAGATGGGGCGAATTCACCCAGCCGGAAAGCCACGGAGCTGGAATGTGCTGGAAAGTGGATGTGGCAGAGCTGGAATGGGCTGCTCCCACCTGACCACACCCAGGAGCCGGCCGGGCTGCTGGCAGGCACCTAAGCCTGGCACAGAGCCGGGCCCGGGGAGGCGGCAGCCGGCGGGCCTTGGGAGCCGGGTATTTTTAGTCACTCTGTCACCGGGACCAGGCGGGGAGGATGGGAAGCCACAGGGGCTGGCACCGGCCGGGGATGAACTCATGAGCCCGGAATAGCGGAGCGCAGCTCTCAGCTGTCCGCGGCCGCCAGCCACAGGAGCTGGCTCTCCGGCCTTTTCCTGGGCCCCGGACTCTTGCAGAAGGTTCTGAACGGAAGGATGTTTGAGTTGGAAAGAACCTTAACAATCTCACATCACAGTCTAATTCGGGGGTGGGGAACCTTTTTCCTGCCCAGGGCCATTCGGATACTTATAACATCATTCGAGGGCCATACAAAATTGTCAGCTTAAAAATTAGCCTGCTCTGCCCTAGCTGGTTTGCTCAGTGGATAGAGCGTTGGCCTATAGACTGAAAGGTCCCGGGTTCAATTCTGGTCAAGGGCACATGCTTGGGTTATGGGTTCAATCCCCAATAGAGGGCATGTAGGAGGCAGCTGATCAATGATTCTCTCTCATCATTGATGTTTCTTTCTCTCTCTCTCTCTCTCTCTCCCTCTCCCTTCCTCTCTGAAATCAATAAAAATATATTTTTTTAAAAATTAGCCTGCTCTGTTTGGTCAGACACTTGATTAACTCCCCCCTAATGCCTCGCCAGGGCCAGACCAAATGACTTCAGGGGCCTTATCTGGCCCGAGGGCCAGGTGTTCCCACCCCTTTTAACCCCCCACTTCTGCTGATGGGGCAATCGAGGCTGAGAGGCACGTTTCGTGCGAGCAGCAGGCCCGTTGGCTGCATCCTGTCCGGCTGCCATGCCGTCACGCGGTGCGTGGTGGCGGGGGTGGGAGCGTAGTGCCGCGTGGGGTTAGGAAGCCCTGGGCTCGGGTCCGGCTCACACCTGGAAGCTGAGGCCTGTGGCCCGCAGGTTCACCTTGTCTGTGAGGCCCATTCCACGGGCGAGGAGCCTGGGGCTCAGAGGGCGGAAAGCATCAGGCCCAGGCGGCAGTCTGGTCCTCTTCGCCCCGGAGCCTGAGCTTCTCCCAGCACCAGCTGCCCTTCCGGTGGCAGCGAGGACAGGCAGTGGCGTGGCCTGGACGAGCCACGGCTCCCGCACGAGGGAGATCTTACCGCGCTGGCTGCTCAGGAAAAACAGACGGGCCTGTTCCCGGTGCTGCCGCCGCTCAGGGCCTCCCCGGGCCTCCCGCTGCCTGAGCGTCCGGATGGCGCTTCTTCCCACTGTCCCTGCCCTCGCCTCGGCGCCTGTCCCTCCTCCGGCCCCATTCAGCGGGACCCCAGGTGGTCGGAGTGGTGTGTGTGCTTCCGCTTGGGCGTGTAACTCTGGGTGTGGGTGTGTCTGTGCGTCTGTCTGAGGGTAGCTAAGACCTGGCTGTTGGGGGGAAGGGGGTGTGAAACTAACTCATGAGTGCGTGTGTGTGTTTATGTGGCTACGTCTCATGTAAATTGTGTGTGTGCCCGTGTGTCTGTGTGAGTGTAGCTAAAACCTTACTGTGGAGGGTGGAGCAGGGCGGCGGGTGACATGAAAATGTGACTGTGTGTGTCTATGTGGTAAAGACCCACATAGATCTGTGTGTGTGTCAGAGAGAGAGAGAGAGAGAGAGAGAGAGAGAGAGAGAGAGAGAGAGAGACCTACGGTTGTTTGTGTCCGTCTGTCTGTCTGTCCGTCTGTGTGGGGTGAGGCTGGATCCCAGCCCAGGCCGCTGTGGTGGGAGCGCCCTCCCCCTGGCCATGAGGAGGCGGCAGGACTGGATCCTGGCAGGGCTCCGGGACCAGCCGCACGGCTTCCTCCCCGATGGGCCTGCACAGGTGGGGATGAGTCACCGGTGGTGAATCTGCAGGCCCCATGCCGGCGTGAAATTCCTCTCCGTTGGCAGGAATGAGCAGAGCAACTCGGCCGCAGCAGATCAGAGCCTCCAGGGGTGACCTGAGGTCACCTCCCAGCCCCTTGTGTTCTTGGGGCGTCAGGGCCACCAGAACTCAACCACCTCCTTCCTGACAGGTGGCCAGCGGCAAAGGGACCCCTCACCGTCCTCCCTGCTGCGGCTCCTGGCCGGGAAAGCCCCCAAGCACGCACTTCGGGGACAGGGACACCAGGCACCCACACAACCATCTGCTTCCTCTCTCCCAGGGTCACTTGCTGGGGATCTGCTGGTGCCTCCCGCTCCTGCCCTCACTTTTAGAGACACCCCCCCACCCCCGCAAGCTCTCCCTGTGCCAGGGCCCAGAGGCCCACCTCTCAGCAGATCTTGAGCCCCCTCTCTTTGCCAGGACCCCGGCAGCTTCTTCTTCTCAGGCGTGCAGAGGCGCCCTGGGGGTAGGAAGGGCACCCCTCTTGGGGTTGGAACCTTCACCCCGAGTCCTGTCTTCACCCCTCAGCTGGGGCTCCTGGGCTGGCCAGCTGCTTCCTGAGCCCTCCTTCCTCCCTCACCTCTTCCCTCACAGAGGTAGGTTTCTTTTCTTTTCTTTTTAAATATATTTTTATTGATTTCAGAAAGGAAGGGAGAGGGAGAGGGCTAGAATCGTCGATGATGAGAGATTCATTGATGGGCTGCCTCCTGCACGCCCCACACTGAGGATCGAGCCCGCAACCCGGGCCTGTGCCCTGACCGGGAACCGAACTGTGACCTCCTGGTTCGTAGGTGGATGCTCAACCCCTGAGCCTCGCCGGCCGTCAGCAGAGGTAGGTCTCTCCTCTCTCAGGTGCGTTAAGCAGCGTGCACTGACTTGCGTGGCGCGTCGCCTGGCGGTATAAGAATTTGCCCAGCCTTTTCTGTCGTGTATGCCAGTTTCACTTTCTTTCATTGTCTGTGCAAGTTTCCTTCTGGTTACTATTTGCATAGTACATCTTCTCCCATGATCACAATCGACATTTCTGAATCTGTATGTTTTAGATGTAAATAGCATAAAGTGGGAATTGGTTTTTCTACAGTCTCACAGTCTTTGTCTTTGACAAGATTATTTAAATTTACATTTAACACAATTTCTGATATATATTCCTGTTTAGACATACCATTTTTGTGTGTGATGACGGCACTGTGGTGCTATCGTTTTCAAGTCCTTATCTGATAACGGTGCCTACGAAAATATTCACGAGTAAAACGATGTGGTATGTGAGGATTTGCTTTAAAACACTCAAGGGGGGAAATGAGGAGGTAAACGAAACTAGATTCGTAAGTGTTGGGATTATGAGTGTGTAAGGTCCGTTATCGTATTCCGTCTATTTTTGTACATTATTTAAATTTTCTCTAACAACACGTTTTTCCATCTGCCATCTCAGTTTCTACTATTGTCCTGTCTGTTTTGTTCCTTTTCCTCTCAAATCTCGGCTCCCTTTAGATGGGTTATGTTTTCACAATCCACTTTCTCCTTTGTTCGTTCAGGAACAGTCTCTCTCCGGCAGTGCCGCTCGGAGCGGGACAGGGCGTGGTGCTTGTCTTCCCTTCAGCCCTTCTGGAACTCTCTGCTGAGCAGTTTGCTATTGGTGCTGAGCAGCTGTTTTGTACCCAGTGCTCTGATTGACCTCAAGGGACCAGAGGTACATGCGCTGACCTTGAGCAGCCCAGCAGTTAGGACAGAGGAACACAGACAGGTTAAGACTGACTGAGTGGGCCCCGCAATCCAGGAGGAGGGGAGGAAGACAGGCAGCCTACCTTTTGGGGGTGGGGGGGTTGACATGTGAGCTGAGGTCTGAAGGTCAGTAGGGGCAGGTGGTGAAGCCCAGGCTGGCAAAGGAGCACAGAGCATGAGACCCAACAGTAGGGTGCTGGGAGGGTCCGCGGGTGGGGGTGGGGGTGGGAAGGGCCCCACCAGGGCTGTGGGCATGCGGTGGGAGGCGTGGTTGTGGGGCCTTCTTCAGGCAGGTGGGGTAGGGGGCTGCCTCCACCCTCCACAGGAGTCCTGACGAAGGAGACATTGGAGGCTGCAAAGTGGAGGCCTTTTGCAGGAAGAAGCGTCTGGCAGCTTCTGGCACCTTCTAGGATTGTTTGCACAAGATCCCAGACTCCCTCTCCGTCCTGGGTTGCTTTTTAAAACACCTTTCTGGGCTGGGGAGTGTGTGAAGGGCTGAGAAGAGAGGAGCCAGAAGTGAGGCCTGTGAAGAAGGTGTGTTTTCCCAGCTGACGCCAGGCTGCTGAGGCGAGAATTGCTGAGAGTGTGCGCTGATATCACAGCTCCCCCAGGGGCCGCTGTGAGGGCGATGAGACTTCTTCACAGCTGTCCTGGTGTCCCCCACCCCGGCCACACACCCCCAGCCACATGGCTTCCTGAGGCCTGGGCTGGGACCGCTGGGAGCGCTCAGCCAAGGAGGAAGGACGGGGGACAGAGGAGCAGGCCACGTGTTTGCAGAGGTGCGGTTCCATTTTGTTCATCCTGCCTGTTTATAGCCATGCTCACCGAGGAAACAAATCATGGGTGACATGAGCAAGCCCGGGAGGTTGGCTCCTGAGTCATTCTCGAGAGGGTGAGGCATCTGGTTCGTTGAATTCTATGGCTCCATTGAGTTACCACGGTGACAAAGGCTGGATGTGCCGAGGGCATGGAGACATATGAGAGCGAGAGCACACTGACCGGTCCGCAGCCGAGAGCCGTCTTCCTGGGAGAACGCAGGGAAGGCTGACTCACGGCGATGAGCGCGGGCTCTCTCTGCCCGGGTTCTGGATAGGAGGGGTACGGCGGCCGGAGGTACTCAACAGCTTCGTGCTGGTCTTGGCTCCAAACCCTTCCCGGCTCCCGGGATGGCCAGATTCAGCAAATCACAACGCAGGGTGCCCAGTTAAATTAGAATTTCAGGTGCCCAGTGAAAATCGTGTCGTGTGTGTTCATGCAAATGTGATTTGTTGTTCATCTGGAACTCAGATTGAACTGAGCATCCTGGATGCACCTGGCAGCCCTGGCCCCAGGGGCTGCAATTAGAGCTCAGATTCCAGCGCCCATTTCTCCCCGGGATGTTTGCAACTTCGGTTCCTCCTCACTGTTTCCTTTCTTGTATCCAACTTGATGGCCTCCTCATCGTTGCTTTGCCTTTTGCTTTCTCGCTCTCCGGCCTTTGTGCACACGGCCCCCTTCACTCCCCACCCTACAGGTGAGGTTTAGGGTGCTATCACTGGTCCCCACGGGCTGGAAGCCCTCCCCCTCTGTGAACGCCTTAGTGTCCTTGGAATGGGGACCTTCATTGTGGAGGACGCTCCTTGCTCCTTTGCTGGGCCCCTTCTTCTTCATTCTGGGAAAAGCACCCCCTTTTTGAGAACTGCTCCTCTGACCACAGCCACTTACCTCCCTGCTCCGGCCTCTCTGCCCCCCGGCACCGGTGATTGGCCCAGAAGTGGACACTGGATCCTAGCCTCGCCTAGGAGATCCTTCCCTAGATGTGTGTTTTTTAAAATATACTTCTGTTGATTTCAGAGAGGAAGGAGCAGGAGAGAGAGAGAAACATCGATGATGAGAGAGAGCCTTCGTCTTGAGACTGTCAGGACCACCCCGCGTCTAAGATGTCCATCCCGTGTTACTCCGCTGCAGAGAAGTGCTTGCTTTTTGACAAGAGTAAGCCCTGACTTTCGTATTCACCAGGAAACATGGCCTTAGACAGTAAAGCCACAGGGGCAGAACTGTGAACCTCTGCTAACTGCCCTGTCCAATCGACACACACCTTCTGAGCCAAAAGCTCACGTCCCCCTGACACGGAGGCCGCCCCGCCTGGTGGTGTCTGGGGGTCTGCATCCAAGCCTCACGCTCTGCCCGGAGAAGGACATGCCCCCCGCCAGCAACCGAATGCTTGCAGCGAGGGCCAGCCTGGCCCGGCCCCACGGACTTCCCTCCCCAGGCTCCCCTCCGGCACGGGAAGCAGCAGCCACGACACGTCTTTGCCTGCACGGTTCCTGCAGAGGTTCTTGGACTTTGGACTTGGCACTGGGATCTGAGAGTTCGGCTGCAGTTGATTGCATCCAGGCTGTCGCATGAGCTGTCCCAGGGCCGCCCTTGAAAGCGTGTTTCTGAGGACTCAGACTGAGGGTCTTATTTGTGTGAGATAAGAAGGGCGCTCCAGCCTGGCCATGGTGCTCAGTGGATGGAGCGTCATCCCATAGACCAAGAGGTCCCAGGTTCGATTCCCAGTCAGGGCACCATGTGCCCAGGTTGTGGGCTTGGTTCCCAGTAAGTGGCATGCAGGAGGCAGCCGATCAATGATTCTCTCCCATTATTGATGTTTCCATCTATCTCTCTCTTCCTCTCTGAAATCAATTAAAAAAAAATTTTAAGGTCACTCCAGAGGGAGTCTGGGGTCCCCAGTCCCTCTCCGCTCCCCAGGCCTTGCTTAGTGCCCAGCAGGAAGTGTGTGGCCGGCCCGGTCAGCCTAGTCATCACTCTCTGTGCGTGAGCCCTCCCAGCCCCACAAAGGCCACGCTGCCCCAGCATTCCTGGGTGTCGGCCACATTCACTGCCGTGAGATGAACGCAGCGCGGCCTCACTCCGTCTGCCGAGTTCCATCTCCTCGGCGCAGGCCACCTGCTGTCCTCTTGCCTTGGGTATGCCCTCTCCGTTGTTCCTGCAGGACCCAGGTGACGCTGGAGTCCTGGTGGGGTCAGGGGTCAGACTGGGGCCAGGAAACTCAGGCTGTGAAAACCGGGAGAACAAAGGGAAAGGAGTTCTTTTCTTTTTCTTTCTTTCTCTTTTTTTTTTTTAGAGAGACAGACAGAGAGAGAGAAAGAGAAACAGCAACTTGTTGTCCCACTTATTTTGTGCGCTCGTTGGTGATTCTTGTATGTGGCCTGAGATCGAACCCACAGCCTTGGTGTACGGGGATGATGCTCAAACCAAGGAGTCCTTTCGGCTGCAGAGCATTGCCGGGGGCTTAAGGGGCAGGCGCTTGCTGAGGCGCAGGAAGCGGCACGTCTGAAAGCTGCCCAGTCTACTGTCCGTAGTCTCTCCTCCCTCTTCTGGCCCGAGTCTGTTCCACTGTTTGCATCTGAGCACCTGGCCTGGCTCAGACTTCACCTTCTGTTCCTACCAAACCTGCCCAAGACAGAGCTGCGGCAGAGCAATGCCCTCCCTCCGTCCTGCAAGGCTTTCCTGCCACAATACGCCTTCCCCGTGCACGCTCCCGCTTGGTTTGTTGAGGGAAAGCGTTCTGACGTACGTTTCTGTTATGTCCCACTGAGAGGTAAGAAAGCCGGGGCCCATCGTGGCCCAGGGACTGGCGGGGTCACACAGCGCGTCGCGGGGCCTGCTGCCTCGGAATGCCACGCGTCCTCGCTGGTCACCCCCTCCCACCTGAGCATGTCCCGCTTCAGGTGTTTCACACAGGAGGGAAGCGACGGGGCAGGAGGCGGACGTACAGAGGGAAGGCTTCTCGGAGGAGAAATTACATGCATCAGCTGGTGACTTTTGCCACTTTCGAAGGCAAAGAGGTCCTGGGTTGCGCGCGCGCACACACCACACAACACACATACACGTCCACATGCACACACGCATGTGTGCACACACACTCACCCGCTGACACCTTCCCTCTGCGTTTCCATTACAAGGCGCTGAGGCTCATGTGAATCGGGGACCAGCCACCCCACGGAGAGCAGAACTCACCTCTGATGAGCTGCTATTTCCGTGACCAAGTGTTCCCTCTGCGAGGACTTTGACGTGCGCGCTCGGGCCAGTGTGTCTCTGTCACCCGCTCACGTCCTAATGCCACGGCAGGGGCTTCTAACGGATTTGACTTGGGAAGGGCAGGGCCCCGTGATCCACAAAACCAAGAGGGCACGGAGGCCGAAGAGGCCAGCAGCAGCGTCCATTTTACATCCCTTGCCTCCATGTTCGAGGTCCATCCCAGCCTACAGTTCTGCACAGTCACGTACACAGACCCCGTGCTAAGGACCAGTCTGTATCGCACGTGTCCCCTCCCCTGCCCGATGGATAGACGCTGCCGTCCCTGCTTTCCCGGACAACGAGGTACGTGGCCCGAGGCCACACAGCTGGGCGTGACGAGCCGAGGGCTCGCCGACGACACTGCGTCCACCCGGTGCATGTGGGACGTTCCCTCTCGTACAGATAGGGCACCCCGTGCAGATAACGGTGCACGCGATCTGCAGGCAAGTCTCCGTCACTCGGGGGAGTTCTGTCCTGTGCGTGCTCACTCCTCCATGGTGGGACGCGGAAGAACAAAGCCTTTCACAGACGCCCACACAAGAGGAACACCCCACTGTCTTGCAGGGAGGGGCTCCTCGGAGGAAAGCCCTGTGCCCACAAAGACCGGCCCCGAGGACAGAGTCTGTGCGAAAGGACAAATGCTGACAAGGAAAGGGCTTCGTACGCAGAACACGACATTGTATGTCCACCGCGAGCTGAGAGTGCACCCGCCTCTCCACAGAGGCTGGGAGGGAGGCGCCCGCATTAAATCAGCCCTATGCCAAGGGGTTTGCTTGTCTTTCTTAAGCGTGTATTTAATGCGGGTTTGTTTGTTTTTAATCACATTTGTATGTTAACGAAAGGACTTTGATGCCATGCATAGAGACTCACGATGCAACACACAGGATTGTCAAGCAGGTGTGTCAACCCAAGACGCAGGTGCCGCAGCCCCGGGAGCATTTGCTGCGGCTGGGGTGAGCGAGTCTGACCTTGGCCAGTCCCGGGAACGGTCACCATAGAGATCGACAGGGAGAGAGAGGGACGAGCCGCCTTTCCACTGGGCCATGTTGCTGATTCTTGCTCCTGTAACACTGTGGGTGCAGGCTGTTCCCCGATCTCCATTTTCATGGGGCTTCGTCTTCGGGTCAGAATCTATGACATTCGCAGAGTTCACTGCTGGGCTCCCGAGGGACAAGGACTGGGAGGACAGGTCCCTGCCCAGCTCAGTTCTTTGCGGTGTTTGGAGCCGGTGGAGGGTGAAGCCTGGTGGTCTTTGTAGGGATGAGGAAGTTCGGGTGTGAATGGAGTAGCTGCTCAGGTCGCCCAGGCAGAGGGTGGCAGGGCCAGAGCTGGAAACTCCTATCAGCACAGTCTACACCCGCTGCCCCCAGCCTTGGCACCCGGGGCCCAGGCCAAGTGTGGGTAGATGGAATGTTCTCTATGCCAGGCCACAGGCACGCCAGGTACAGGGTGAGGCTGGCACCAAGAGGCTGCCATCTACAGCACCTGCCTGGCCTCCCTGACATCTGGTGTCCCCCCGAGCGTGATGGGTCGGCAGGAGGCCCTTCTATAGAGGCCTCCCCGGAGCCAGGCAGGCCTGCAGCCCAGGCCTCCGGGCCGGGGAATCGCCTTTCCGCCGTGCCTCCGGTTACGGTTGGACCCGGCAGGGGAGGAAACCCAGTGTGCACTCTGCACTGACAGCACACTCCGTTCACACTGCCACGGCTCAGCTGTCACACGTGGTAGGTGGCTACCACCCCGGGCAGTGCTGGTCTAGGCTCAGCAAAGGCAGGTGACCTTCTCCAAGTCACAATGCTAGTAACCAGTGGAGTGAGATATGCAGTTTTCCTGTCTGACACCAAATGGGCATTGCCCCTGCCCCACGCAGCTAGGGAGCCTGCGGGTGCCCCTCCGTGACTGCTTCCAAGTCCCCCTCCTATGCTGGCAGAGGGGCGGCCCGCTGACTTGCAGTTAAGAAGATGGTGCCTGAGGGGGGTGGGGCTGGGGGTGGGGGTGGAGAGGAATGGACCAGGGACAGGAAGACCTGGCCCCAGTCTGGGGCTGCTGGGAGGACTGGTGTTAGAGCAGCCAAGGAGCCGCTCAGGAATGAAGCTGTCAGCCGCAGGCCACTCGCCCGCCAGGCAAGGCCTCAGGCACCTGCCCGAGCAGCAGCCACCTCTGCCCCGACGTCTGTCCCTGCAGCCCCCCCTGTGGCGGCCCAGGAGCACCCCGCTGCTCATCTCCCCACATTTACTGTCTGCAAACCAGCGAGGCTGCAACCTGCAGAGAACGCTGATGGGCTCCACGGCATCTGCGTGTGACTTTGAAAAAGGACAGGCGTGCAGCGAAGTCAGTGGGAGAATCGGGGGCGGCCGACCCCCTTACAGGTGGCTGGTGTGCAAACTGGCTCCATTGATGAGCAACAGAGAGGTGGCCACAGAAGTGGGAGCTAGAGGGAGGCCCGTGTGTGTGTGTGTGTGTGTGTGCCTGTGCATGTGTGTGCGCATGTGCATATGTGTGTGTGCCTGTGCATGTGTGCGTGCGTGTGCATGTGTGTGTGTGTGTGTGTGTGTGTGTGTGCGTGTGTGGCGAGAGTGGGACCACATTCTGAGAGAAGGGGTATTGTATCCTGAAACCAGTAGAGATTGTCAGGTGATCTTGTATTTCTTTGACTGTTTGACCAGTTTTAAGGGTACGGTTCAGTGGCACTAAGGACATTCCCATCACGAAGCACATTTTTGCAGACTGAGAATTACGCTTGTGCAATGGCGGACCAGTCCCGGGTCTCACTGCTTTTCTGAACTTTAGACGAGATTCCGGAGCTCCGTGCCCCGCGTCTCACTTCTCAGCCCATGTCCGTCCCTCAGTAAACAGGCAGCCGCTGCAGCTCCAAGGGGCCGGCTTGGCACCCCCAGGGCGAGGGACTGGGCCCCCCCCCCCCCCCCGCCCGGGTTCGCCTCGGTCCTGCCGCCCTCCACTCGGGAGCTCTGCACAGGGACCGGCCCGAGTGCCGTCTCCTCGTCTACAACGACTGCGCTCTGAACAGTCCGCTCCGGGGTGGGAGGCACCGGGAATGTGGCCTGAAACGACTGCGGCCTGGTGTCCAGGGGGCTGAGGCGGCTCCGGGCACCCCGCTCAGCAGTGCCGCCTCCACCTGCAGGGGCCACTTCAATGTCCCCCCACGTAGCAGGCGGATAATGTGCGGGGCTGTGAATTTTGCCGTAAATACCCTCATGGCCTTCGGTAGGAAAGAGGCTCCCCGCCCCCAGCAGAGCCATTGCTGTCTCCAGGCGCGCGGGGCCCGGCAACAGCTGAGCAGGGGCCTCTATCTATTTTGTTTAGATGTGTGAGGCCCCCAGTTTCTTGCCTAGGCTTCTCCTGGGTTTAAGGAAACCCAGAGAGGAATTGTCCAAATAAGCCGGGAATGGCTCATATTCAGAAGGGCTCTTTCCTCTGCAAAAAGGTTATTTCACTGGGTTTTCCCAATTCCCAGGTCTCTGGTGCCATCGCGAGTTTGTTTACAGAGCTGGACCGAGCCGAGCCGAGGGAAGGAGGGCCACCAGGGACTGTGGGTGATCCCCCCTCCCAGCCACCTCCCAGGTGCCTCCGGCTGGGGCCTGGCCTGGGCCACAGCCTGAAGCCGTCCTGGGCAGCAGCCTCAGTCCACCCTTCCTGCAGCCCTTGTGCACTTGCCCGCGACCCCTCCGTCCATCCTGTGTTCATCTGTCCATTCTTGTCCGCTTCTTGGCACCCAGTTTATCCACCAAGCACTCCACTAGGCCCTGCGGCCACCCAGGCACATCAGACACTCAGCCCCACCTTCCTGGTGGCTTCGACCAATGGGGAAGCAGACAGACCCAGGACAACCGGTGTCATGTGCTTCCTGCTGGGGGGCTGGGGTGCACAGGACAGGAGGGGTCACCTGGAGGGGAGGGGAGGGGAGGACAGCCCTGAGACACAGTGTCATTTCTCCTGAGACTCCCGAGATGAGTCATGGACCAGGTAAAGATGGGGGGGCGGTGGGGGGGGGCGGGGACGCAGGACCAGGGAACAGAGGGCTGAAGCACAAGAGGAGGAAGGAGCAGGAGATCAGACAGGAGAGGTGTGGGGGTGGGTCACCTTAAGGATTTTGAGTTGATTCTAAACAAACCATGGGGAGCCCTGGTCGAAGCACTTCACCAAGATTAACTCACTGAGTGCTCACATCAACCCCGTGAGGCGGGTATGATTATCATCACAATCCCCAGTGTACAAGTGGGGAAACTGAGGCACGGGGGAGTTGGGTAACCTGCCCAGGATGAAGCCAGGATTCGCACCCAGGCCCTCTGGCTTCTGAGTCCGACCAACAGGATAAGCCGCAGCTAAAGGAGGGTTTTCAGCAGGAAAGGGGTGCAAAGGTCACACTCGCATTTTTTTTTTTTTTTTTTGCAAGATCCCGCCTGCTGAAGGGACCAGGAAGTCTGTGGAGCATCGCCCCAGGGGCCCACGTGTGGCTGAGCTGCCCTGGCAGAGGGAGGTGAGGAGACAGAGAGATTCCTCTCTGGTCTGCATCCCAGCCGGCTGCCCAGAGCCGCCTTGGGGGGGGGGGGGGGGGTCAGCCCCGTCCGAAGCTGACTCCTGCATGAGGAGGAGCAAAGGAGCCCCCACCCCCTCCACCGGGCGGCAGAGGGGAGGGAAACGCAGACCGCCTCACCTGGGTGGCTGTCCCCTTTCCCCTCGAGACCCCTTGTCCTCCCTTGCCTTCCGATGCCCAGCACCTTCTCCATCGCTCCAGCCCACAGGCGCTCTCCCTTCCCTCGTCTCCCGGAGCTGATTGTGAGAGCAAACAATCCGCCCTGTGTGCACTGTTCTCGGCTGTTCTGTGCTCACTCGCCCGTTCCCCCTCCTGGAGTGTCTGCACATGAGTCATAATTTGTGAGAAGCTTGAGGACTTGTTGCTTTATGTACCAAAACTTTTTAAAAATAAAACTCCCATTTTTTTAAAAAGTATATAGCCCTAGCCGGTTTGGCTCAGTGGCTAGAGCATCAGCTCACGAACTGAAGGGTTCTGGGTTCGATTCTGGTCAAGGGCACATACCTTGGTTGCAGGCTCCTCCTGGCCCTGGTAGGGGTGAGTGCAGAAGGCAACCAATCAATGTGTCTCTCTCACATGGATGTTTCTCTCTCTCTCTGTCTGTCTCTCCTCCTCCCTTCCACTCTCTCTAAAAAATCAACGAAAAATATTATCGGGTGAGGATTAACAAGACCAACAAAACATACTTTATGTATATATATATATAATATATATATACTTTATATATAAATAATAAAAGTGACTTCTTCAACAACAAAAAGAGAACAGCATGAGCACTTTTTGTGACGATTAAGGCTCATTGCTACGTCCCGAGGCCCCGTCTGGAACATGTGGGTCGTGTGCCTTTCCACTACATCCACCAGCCTCTTGGGCTTTTTCATGACCACTTCTGGTTTGTCGTCTCCATCCTGTCACCTGATTGCCTTGCACAGACCTTACAAAGAGACGGGATCCCAGGTCAGCGGCGGGGACAGGCCTGGGCTGGCCCGGAAGCCTGCTCTCCCTCTGCCCTGAGTCACCTGGCGGGAATGTGCAGTGGCCGTCAGAGGGACTCCCAGGAGTGATTCTTCCGACTTCCCACACGGCCCCTGGAGATCCCCGTGGGCTCGGAAAGCAGGGAGCGAGCATCAGGAGCTGAAGAAAGGGAGACCTTGCCGGTTCTTCCCTGAGCTCTGGGTCAGCGCCCCACCTCTGAGACCTGTGGGCACAGGGTCTTTTTTTTTTTAATGGATTGATTTCAGAGAGGAAGAGAGAGGGAAAGAGAAACATCAATGGTGAGAGAGAATCATCGATTGGCTGCCTCCTACACACCCTGCCCTGGAGATGGAGCCCCCAACCGGGAATCGAACCATGACCTCCTGGTTCCTAGGTCGATGCTCAGCCACTGAGCCACGCCGGCCGGGCCAGGGTCTTAATCATTTGTGGACCCCCCGGCCTAGGACACCCTGGCACATGCAGACCCTTAAATATCTTGTGGAACGAACCAGCAGGAAATGGACCCGGGGCCGGGTGGGAGCGCTCCTTTGGGGGTGCGGTGACGGCACCAGTGGGGGGACTTGAGGACGTCGTCTCACGGCTCAAGGACCTGCCATGCTCACTGCAGGCTCCTCATAGCACAGTGATGGCGAACCTATGACACGCGTGTCAGAGGTGACACGCGAACTCATTTTTTTGGTTGATTTTTCTTTGTTCAATGTCTTTTAAATATATACAATAAATATCAAAAATATAAGTCTTTGTTTTACTCTGGTTGCAAATATCAAAACATTTCTCTATGTGCCATGGCACCAGAGTTAAGTTAGGGTTTTTCAAAACGCTGACACGCCGAGCTCAGAAGGTTCGCCATCACTGTCATAGCGGATGCCGTCCGTGTTTGCGGGACCCCTGGGAACAGCTCGCCCTACTCTGCGCACTTCCCTTTGAGAATCGACGCCCTTCTAGTGGGTTTGCATCCGACTGAGTGCTAAGTAGGCGCGCAGGGCACACGGCGGCTGGCACTGGAAACGCCCCTCGATGGCCTCGGTTCCCTCTCAAAACACTCACTAAAGGCCTTCCCCGGGCCGGTCAGAGTCACCCGGGAGTGAGAGCGATGAATCGCTGCCCACTGGAAGGCCACACCCAATGGGGGGCCGGGGGAGGAGGGAGGGGAACAAAGGATGAGGAGGTCCCCTCTCCTGGCTGCTAGATACCAGGACAGTAAAAGCAGAGACTTCCGTATGAAAATAAAATCGGCTCTGACTCACTGGCAGATGTAAACTTAGCCACCCACCAGCTTCGAACAACTAAACATTGTTCCCCGGCCAGCAAGCCTCGGGGCCTCGGGGCCTCAGGAGCCTCCCTCGTCCAGTCCTCGAAGGTCCCAGAGTCTTGTCTGTGCAGTAGGAGACTGAACCCCCAGACCTGGTTTGGAATTTTAACCCTAGAGCTGACCAGTGTAGACAGGTAATTCAACCTCAATTTATCCAACTGTACAGTGGGGCCATGATCCCTCGCTTGTGTGGAGAGGGCACTAGGAATACAAGGTTAAAAAGGAAACCTTAGAAACAAAGAGCCATTCAGCATTATTTTCGTGTAACAAATACTTATGTCAGGGATGCAGTAGTTTATCCTGAAAACAAGCTGTATCTACTGTGAATGAGCAGTTTCCAAGTGAGAAATTTGTCCAGCTGAGATTTTGCTTTTGGGGAAAAGCTGCAGAGAAGTGAGGAATAAAGGCTCCAGGTGAGACTTCGTAGGAAATGACATTCACCCTTCCCTCCGTCGGCTTGAAAAGTTGGGACATTTTCAGACTCAGGCGCTAACGCTTGGGATTAAAATCATCATCATGCAGGAAAAAAGGAAAAAAAGGAAACGCTTCCGCTCAGGAAGCTCAGTCTGGCAGGGGAGGGAGGAGAGACCGCCAGGCCAGGGACAGACACCTAAAGCTATGAAGAGATATCATTTGTTGAATGAAACAAACTTAAAATACACGTAAAGTTTCTCTAGAGAAATGGCGTAGGAGATGATAGGTAATGTGGACGAAAGGGGCCACGTGCTACTCTGACAGTTCAGGGAGGCCGGCATGGCAGGTCTTGCAAACTCAGAGACCTACAGTCACCACAAAGGACGGTCTGAAAACTTTCACTAAAAACAGTGATGGAGGGTAGTTACATCCTAGGCCGGTATCTTCACTGACAAGATCAACCTTTACCGTAACTGAGCCTATCTGTCGTATTGCATCTATGATAACATACCCTGGAAATGTCTGGGTAACTTGTAACTTCCCTTTTTCTGGAGCCCCTGGGGCACAACCAAATGTGCTGGGCGCCAGGACAGATGCCACAAATTCCTTCATCATCATGTTCATTGTTCCTGCACCCACCTAAGTATGTGTCTATCATTTTACTTTTTATCCAATCCCAGCCCCCCCCCCCACTTTGCTTTCTCCCACCTCTAGTCTATCACCAATGGGTTTCATGTAACTCACCTACGTCCCTTTCCTTTGATTGCAAATGTATAAATACAGATGTAACCCGCCATTCTCCGCAGCATTATCTCAATTCGTTGAGGTTCTGCTTCCCAGCATGTGTCGACAGTTTGGCTCAAATAAACTCACAAAAATTCTTTACAGGTTTCAGTGGTTTTTTACGTTAACAGTAGACAGACAGACAGCTAGATATTGTAAGGAATTAGCAAGTCAGCATTTGGAAGGGGGGCCTGCAGACCTGAGGCCTGGGAGAGCTGACGGCCCGTCTGAGCCCGAAGCTGTCTGCTGCAGACCCAGGCAGAGCTCCAGTTGCCGGTCAAGCCCGAAGGCCACCTGCTGGAGAATTCTCTTGCTGGGGGAAGACCGTCTTTTTGTTCTTTGCTGGCCTTCCACTGGTGGGGTGTGGCCCACCCGCATTTTGGAGGGCCGTCTGCTTACTCAAAGTCCACCAATTTAAATGTCAGTCTCTTCCCCAAACACTCACAGAAACACGCAGAGCAAGGTTTGATCACATACGTAGGCGCCCTGAGGCCCAGCCAAGGGGGCACATAAATTAATCCCCACCCTGCACAAAGTGAAGGTGCAACCTCAGGCGTGCGGCACACTTACAGATCTGCAGGTGAAGGAGAAAGATCTAGAAGGAGGTCGGAAAGACGCTCAGTCACCGCTCAGAGGCAGGCTCTTGGGGCCTCACTCTCCTGCGTACGGGTATGCATTGCTTCGTTTTCTGTAGAATGAGCGAGACTGCACTTTTTATTAACAACCTCATCCTCAGCATCACGCTCACGTTTACAAAAGCAATGGGGCTTTTAAAAATGCTCGATTGCTCGCCTAGAGCACATGCTGGAGGCGTGTCCGAACCCTGGCGCCCCTCCCCAGAGGCTGCTGACCAGAGGCTGCTCAGAGCGGAAACTCTCCAGCGAAGCTTTCGCCGCAAACGGGAGCGCTGCCTTTCCCCTTACATGCCCACGGTGGCAGAGGAACCGTTGCTGAAGACCTGCCTGTGTCTTAACGATGGAAGGGTTCGATTCGGTTTTTCCCTGAGAGCACAGCGCGAGCTGGAGGACAAGGTGTGGCTGAGGGGCATCCAGGAGATGCCGGGAATGGACAACCGCGGGCTCAGCGGGCTGCTGCAGGCGGTAGGAGCCAGCCTCGCCCCCTGCAGGCCCCAGCCGGCCCTCAGCCAGGGGACGCGGGAAGGTGCTGCTCATCAGGCGTTCCCCACCTGTCCTGGCCCTCCACCAATCTCATGCAGGTGGAGCCCTTCCAGGACTCTAAACCGAAGGTCTAAGGACGAAGCTACGGGATTTGCGGTGACGAGCCCCACACAGGTGTTGGTTTGTTGGTAAAATATCTGCCTCTGGCAGGAGAGGCGGAAGCTCCTGGCCGATGACCTGCTGCTCTGGGCAAAGACCCCACTGGAACCATTTACCAGAGCAAACTCAACCTGGAGGACTTATTCCAGGGGGTCCTCAAACTTTTTTTTTTTTAATATATTTTATTGATTTTTTACAGAGAGGAAGGGAGAAAGATAGAGAGTTAGAAACATCGATGAGAGAGAAACATCGATCAGCTGCCTCCTGCACATCCCCTACTGGGGATATGCCCGCAACCCAGGTACATGCCCTTGATCGGAATCGAACCCGGGACCCTTCAGTCCGCAGGCCGACGCTCTATCCACTGAGCCAAACCGGTTTCGGCCTCAAACTTTTTAAACAGGGGGCCAGTTCACTGTCCCTCAGACCGTTGGAGGGCCGGACTATAGTTTACAAAAAACCTATGAACAAATTCCTATGCACACGGCACATATCTTATTTTGAAGTAAAAAAACAAAACGGGAACAAATACAATATTTGTATTTGCATGTGGCCCGCGGGCCGTAGTTTGAGGACCCCTGACTTATTCACTCTGAAATGTCTGCGGAATGTGGCCATTCTGCAGGCCGTTAACTCCACTAACTACAACACAGTTCAGGAGGTAAGCCTTCACTAAGGGCTCCTAAGGCTCCAAGGCCCCTGCAGCATGTTGGGCTCCCCCCACACACACCACCCGGGACCCCCAAGCCGAGGGAGAGAAGGAAGAAACGAATATTCGCTGAGGGCCCAGCATTCTCCTGTGTCATGGCTCCACAGCCGCTCTAGGCAGGGATTACCAGGCTCCGAGAGGACCACGGTGTCCAAGGTCAAACCTCAGACCAAGAGCAGGGCTGGGATTTGGGATCTTCTGGCTTTGAGTTCAGTGTGCTCACAGCTTCTTCTCACCCAGTCGTTTAGAAAAAATAACAAGACCGTCAAACAAAGAAATCAACAGCTTCGCTGTCCTTTCTCGCTTTGCTGTCTGTTCCCTAGAGATCTCCCCAGCGCAGTGGCGGGGTGTTTACCACGCACAGGGTTTACTAGGACGGAACTCCTAGAGCAGTGGTCGGCAAACTGCGGCTCGGCAAACTGCGGCTCGCGAGCCACACGCGGCTCTTTGGCCCCTTGAGTGTGGCTCTTCCAGAAAATACCGGCTCTTCCACAAAATACCGACTTCTGCCCATGGGCCACGAAGTTTCAATCACACTGTACGTGCGCGCCCGCATGTGGTATTTTGTGGAAGAGCCACACTGAAGGGGCCAGAGAGCCGCATGTGGCTCGCGAGCCGCGGTTTGCCGACCTAGAGGACAGAGTCTAGTCTGGCCTTTCTAAGCGCCCCCCCCAACACTGAGCAGAGAGCTGGCAGAGCGGTTGCAGGGACGGGCTCCCGCGGCACAGTTCACACCCAGGCCCTGCCACTCATGAGCTGGGCGACTCCACACGATGCCCGCCCTCCCTGGGCCTGCACTTCCTGGTCTGTGATAACAGTAGCTGTTTTACAGCGGCGTCAGGCAAATTAAATGAGCGAACACGTACTTGCAAAAGACTCAAAGGAGTGTCTGACACGTGTGCTCACTCAATAAATGCGAGCTTGCCCTAACTGGTTTGGCTCAGTGGCTAGAGCGTCGGCCTGAGGACTCAAGGGTCCCAGGTTCGATTCCAGTCAAGGGCATGTGCCTTGGTTGCAGGAACGTCCCCAGTGGGGCGTGTGCAGGAGGCAGCTGATAGATGTCTCTCTCTCATCGATGTTTCTAACTCTCTATCCCTCTCCCTTCCTCTCTGTAAAAAAAATCAATAAAATATATTTTTTTAAAAAAATCTTAAAAAAATAAATAAATAAATGCGAGCTCTTCATGTGTCCGGGCACTTCCAGAGCCTTCACTTTCTCAACCTGAGTTCTCCCAGGTGCAGAGGAGTTTAGATCTGAGCTGGTTCCTCACGTCCCTCCTCACGTCCTTAACAAGTCCACAGGGCGCCATTGTTCCCAGGCAGCCTCACCCCTCATTCCAGATGACCAGAACCATATGAGGTGGTGCTCAGTACTTACCTGATGATTGAATGAAAGCAGAAATTTCAGAGACTGAGCTACAGGAGAGCAGTAACGTCTTGCCCAAGGTCACCTGCGGAGGTGGCAGTACAGCCCGGACTTTCTGACAAAGAATTCCTGTGCTTGTCCCCTCCCTCCTTCCCTCCCACAGTTCAGTTCCCTGACAGCCCTCCCCCCTCAGGAGCAGTCACCCCCCATCTCCCTCCGCTGGCCTCTCCCCGCCAGAGCTGTCTCTCATTCTGGTCAGCTCGAAATTCACTGGTCACACCAAAAGCATTTTATCTGACCTTCCACATGCAAATTCTCTCCAATGGGATTTCTTGGTGTCCAGCTCCACCCCAGCCCACATGGCCATAAACACTCGTGTGTCCTCAGCCCGGCCCCGGGGATTCCAGAAATAACAGCAGGGCCCTCCATTAGAAATGCGGGGACATAGGAAGGCATTTCTGCAGGAAGACATCAGCCCTTTCCAGCCCCGGCCTCGCCTGTCCGTCAAAGCACAAAGCAACCTTTACAAGCCGGGACAGGGAGGGGCAGCTGGGCGGGAGCACAGATTTCTGAGAAGTCAGCACCTCCTGCCATCTGTCTGCACGCTCAGACCTTCCTTGCTTGAGATTCTCTACTCTGCTCCCGTCTCCACTTGGAATTTGAAATGCTTTCGTGGCTGTGGCATCCTTTGCTTTCTTTTGAAATAATAATAATAATAATTATTATTATTATTTTAAATGTATTTTTTATGGATTTCAGAGAGGAAGGGAGAGGGAGAGAGACATAGAAACTTCAATGATGAGAGAGAATCATGGATCGGCTGCCTCCTGCACGCCCCACACTGGGGATCAAGCCCGCAGCCAAGGCATGTGCACTGACCGGGAATCGAACCGTGACCTCCTGGTTCATAGGTCGACACTCAACCCCTGTGCCATGCCTGCCGTTCTATTTTTTTATTATTTTTTATTTATTTTTTTGGCATCCTTTGCTTTCAGTGACCCATTCTCCCTCGGATGTGCTGGAGCTGGAATCACGGCAGTGTGAGCACAGATGGCGATTTTCACGTTTGGATGACACAAAAGCCGGTTCCCAGGTGCCCAGGACAGCCGCCTTTCTCAGGGGAGGGCACTGGGGAAGTGCCAGGAGAGAAGCGGGGCTGGAGGGCAGGGTCTCTTCTCTGTTAGAGGAAAAGGAAAGTGCCAGCTATGACCCTAAATATAAGGCACGTGGGACAATCTTTCTCACCTCCCAAGGGTGTTCACCAGGAGAAAGGCAGAAAGCCACCACCTGGGAGAGTAAGACCAGAAAATAAAAGATGGGTGCGCATAACACAACGATGTGAAAAATACGTATTTAGAGGCATAACCTGAAAAGGCCAGAAAGAAATATAAAAATGGTTGCTTTTTTTTGGTGGGGTGGGGAGGGATTAATGGGTGTTTTTCTCCAAATTATCTCTAAAGTCATTTCTCATTTTAAAGAAAACCATGAAACCTGGCATTGCCAGAGAGACGTGCCTGGACCTTTTGGGCGTATTTTACAGGGGGAATTTCAGGTTTTGGGTGCCGGTCGGAAAACTTGAATTTCTCATGTAAAAGCCAGACAGCAGCCACTTTCTCCAGCAGCTAATTCCTCTCTGGCGGAAATGGGATGACTTCTAATTCGCAGCCCCAATCCTAACGTCATTAAAGGCCGGGTTCAGGGTATCGAGCTCCAAACCTTTGTCGCGCATAGGAAGGCGGAGGAAAGAAAGGCGCTTGCTTGTGCAACGAAACCGCCGCCGATGGTGTCACCCTCGCGGGCCAGGCCGCAGCTGCCCGGGTCCACGGGAGGCAATGCACCCTCTGCACCACGGCTGCGGCAGGCGACGCCGTGCGGGCCTCCGGCTCCCGTGCCGCACCCACTAGTGCCGGGGACGGCGGGGAGGACGGGGAGTGTCGGTCCCAGCATCGCAATGGCAACAGTGACGTCCTTTTACCCTGGATCTAATTGGAGGAAACCCCGTGGCCAAAGCCGCAGCCTGCCGGCCAACCGAACTTGCCCAGGCCGACCCACCCTCCGAGCCGCCGCTTCCCCTCGCGCCCCGCCCCCTCGGCCCCCTTCCGCGCGCTCAGGCCTCATTGGTCAGCGGCGGGGCGGGAGGCGGGACTCTCCGGCGCCACTCGGTGCGTCATTGGGCGGCGGGCGCGAGGGCAGCGGCGCGGCGGCCCGCCCCTCGGCTGCGGGCTAGGCTGAGACGGGAGGGTCCTCGACTAAAGCCAGGAGCGGATCAAAGTGGTGGGACTCGCGCCGCGGCCGCGGAGACGTGAAGGTGAGCCGCGGGGTCGCCCCGGGCCTCGTCGGGCCTGGCCGGGCCCAGGGCGGGGCGGGGAGCCGGCCCCGGGGAGCCGCCGGCCCGGACGCCGCTCCCCTTCGAGACGGCTCCGGCGGGAAGGTGCGAGCCAACGGCCGCTTCCATCTTGGGCAGGGCAGGGCGGGCGGGAGCGGCCCTTCTTCCTCCTTCTCCTCCTCCTCCCCCCGCCCCGGGCCGCCTCCGCCGGAGCCCCTCGCGTCCGGGCGCCCCGCGGGGTGCGTGGGCGGGGGAGGGAAATTCAACTGCGCCGCGCGTGCGGGGACGGACAAAGGGGGCGGCGGCGGGCGGCCCGGGCCCGGGCGCATTGTCTGACGGCGCCGCCCCCGCCCTTCCCCGCGCCCCCGCCCGCCCGCCCGCCCGCAGGCCCTCCGCACGCCGCCCGCACGCCGCCTCCGACCCGCCGGTGCTCGCCCGCGCTCTCCTCCCCGTCCCCATGGAGAAGACGGAGCTGATCCAGAAGGCGAAGCTGGCCGAGCAGGCCGAGCGCTACGACGACATGGCCACCTGCATGAAGGCCGTGACGGAGCAGGGCGCCGAGCTGTCCAACGAGGAGCGCAACCTGCTGTCGGTGGCCTACAAGAACGTGGTGGGCGGCCGCCGGTCCGCCTGGAGGGTCATCTCGAGCATCGAGCAGAAGACCGACACCTCGGACAAGAAGCTGCAGCTCATCAAGGACTACCGGGAGAAGGTGGAGTCCGAGCTGCGCTCCATCTGCACCGCCGTGCTGGTGAGTCGGCGCGCCGGGCCCGGGCTCGGGGCGGGCGGGCGCTCCTCGTGGAGGGCTTCACGGGAGCCGGAGGGAAAGGCCGGCCCCGATGGTCTGCCAAGGGGGCCTGGACCCCCCGCGTGTGCGCTTCCCGTGCAGCGGTTCTCAACCTGTGGGTCGCGATCAATGGAAAGCCATCCTGCATATCAGATATTTACATGACGATTCATAACAGTAGCAAAGTTACAGTTATGAAGTAGCAACGAAAATAATTTCATGGTTGGGGGTCACCACAACATGAGGAACTGTATTAAAGGGTCGCGGCGTTAGGAAGGTTGAGAACCGCTGCTGGAGGCGGCAGCAGCTGCTTTTGCAGGGGGAGCGGGTCTTTCCCCGGCTCGCTGCCCACCCAGTAGGGCTGGGCAACACCCAGGCGGGCTTCCCCGAGACCCAGAGTCACTTTTCATCTTGCCCAGGCCGCCTGGCACCCCTTTCCCGGCATCTCATCAATTCAGGGGCTCCAGGCTTCGGCCGGGAGAAGGGTCAGGCAGGCAGGCACCTTTCCCACGGGCACCCATGTGTGTGTGAATGAGGCTGTCCTCCCGAACCTGGCCACGGGCGTTTGTTTTGAAAATGTGAACAGGTAGCTTCATTTTCCGAGGAGGAGCATATCTGTTGAGCTTTTTCCCTGCTCAGAAGGCGGGGAGGGGGCAAGTTCAGTCAGTGTGGAAGAGGCGCAGCTAAATCTAAAGGAAACTTGGTGTTTGGTCGCGTTTCCTTGCTCTAGAAGCACCGATGGAGTGACTTGCGTTGCTCTCTGGTGCGCGGTCGCCGGGACAGCTTTCCAGGTTCTGAACTGTCCGGACTGAGCGGTGGTGGCTGCTGGGTGGAGCGGGTGAGCCTGCGATCACCCTTCTTCGTGGGAGGGAACCCTTCCAGCGCTGTCATTGCGTGGGTCTTTTGATCAAAGACAAGTGTTTAAAATTTAAGTACCAGCCCAATATCCTGGAGTGTTTCACTTCTTTCACCTATTTTCCTAATACAATAAGCAGAACCATGGAGATAGCTGGCGAAGGGGCAAGAAGCATTGCAGGGTGTGCACCAAGTGCCTTGTTTAGAAATTATTTGTTTGCGTTGTATTCATCTATCTTCTTAGCTTCCACTCCCTGCCTGGCATAGAGGAGGCACTTACATAAAAGCTTCCCAACTGGATTGCTGTGTTCATGAAATTTACCAACTTGAAAGTGATGATAGACTGCAATGGCATATGGCCATGCCCATTGACACATCAAGTCTGTTACCAAGGGAAGGCTCATAAGAACTGCATATGTTAACGGGGCTTTCCTAGATTTATAGGGGCTCACGTAGCATATTTCAGTCTCTGTTCAGTGATTACTTCCCAGTGTGTTACTTACCCTGCAGTCATTCCAAATTACCACAAAATTTTTTCCTGTTCTCCAGCAAGTTAATTCTGCGCCAAAGGGATATTTCTTTTAATCTATGGCTCTTATAAATTTTAGTTTCTATGATGGCATAAGTGGAGAAGAGTTTTGCTTAATTGCTAAGTCACTTAGTATAAAAAACTGTCCTCCCCTGAAATTAGGACAATTTTTTATGCAACTGAAATAAAAGCGTTTAACTTTATGAATTTGAGGCATAAATAAAATGTTCTTATTGGTAAAATGGCTTGAGTCTAATTGTGACTTATTGGTCAACCTATCATAAAAATCCTAGGAAAGACCACCTTCCATTTGACAGCTGTATTTGAGAGCTTGGAGGTGCAAGGCACTGCCCATCAGCAGTGTGAGGAAGGACAAAGCTGGGAGCCATGGTGTTTGTCCTCCACAGCGTAAGGAGTGAATGTGAGAAATACAAAACGTAAAGAATAGAATTCCCATAGAATGGTTTTGAACAAGTTATGTGTAGTGTGTGTGTGTGTGTGTGTGTGTGGTTTTTTTTTAAAGTATATTTGTATTGATTTCAGAGAGGAGGGGAGAGGAGATAGAGGTAGAAACATCAATGATGAGAATCATTGATTGGCTGCCTCCTGCACGCCCCCCACTGGGGATCGAGCCCACAA